ATATGCTAAATAAATGACACGTTAGTATGCTGTGATAGTTAAAATTCAACCAAGAGGAAAAAAGTAGAATCCATGATTAAAACACACACACACACACACACACACACACTTTACATGCCAATGAAAACCAAACTACATGTAGCACCTAGGCCTGTCTAAAGGTTAGAGTAGACGAAATAACTTAAAGAGAAAAGGAAGGAGGTAAACTAGATTGGCTTCCTCCTCAGAAACCAATAAAATAAAATGAATTGGGGATATTCAAATCACTAATACCACTAGAATAATTCATTTTGGTATATAGGCACTTTCCTACTCAGAAACCTGTGAGATATAATCAGGATATAATTTTTAAAGCCTTGAATCAATAAAATATGCAGGAAAACAATACTAAAATACCAGCATATCTAAAGTGAGGTTTTTTAAGTTAATTTTTCTTATTTTTTTTAAACATTTTTATTGATTTCAGAGAGGAAGGGAGAGGGAGAGAGAGATAGAAACATCAATGGAAAGAGAGAACCATTGATTGGCTGCCTCCTGCATGCCCCCCACTGGAGATCGAGCCCGCAACCCAGGCATGTGCCCTGACCAGAATCGAACCTAGGACTCTTCAGTCCACAGGCCGAAGCTCTATCCACTGAGCCAAACCAGCTAGGGCTAAAGTTAATTTTTTATTAGCACGACAAGGTTAACCTCATTACTGCCAAGGGTTTTATAAATTAATAATATGAGGAGCAGCATACAAAAACATTTAAATTACAAAAAGGTCTGGAGCCCTAGCTGGTTTGGCTCAGTGGATAGAGCATCGGCCTGCGGACTGAAGGGTCCCAGGGTCGATTCCGGCCAAGGGCACATGCCTGAGTTGCGGGCTCGATCCCCAGTAGGGGGTGTGCAGGAGGCAGCCAATCAATGATTCTCTCTTATCATTGATGTTTCTATCTCTCGCTCCCTCTTCCTTCCTCTCTGAAATCAATAAAGAAATATATTAAAAAAAAAAAAAAAAAAAAGGTCTGGAAAGGTCATCTATTACTTCTCCATATCTAAGAATTTTAAATATTAGAATTATATTAAACTGCTTTTTCCAAATAGCTAGGGTCAAACAGTTCGTTGGTTCTCAAAAACAATGAATGGGGAAAAAAAACACAATAATATTAAAAAATTATCCCCAACATTTTACTATAACCAAATACAAAGAATATGTAAGAAAAGCCTGTTATCAGATATTCGTAAGTGTACTGTATATAAATTTTATAATCAATTTGTTCTAGAAGTACTTGTTAATATTGATATCTTTACCACAGAATTCATTGTAATGAATATTAATACGTCATAAAGATCATCAGAAGTAGCTTAATGGACTCAATCTGATTTTAACCACTAATGGCCTGAGGAATCTCAAATTTGGGTTTAAATTAGCCCTACCTTCTTAGCATCAACAAATACCAAACTGTTCACTAGTTGATGTGGTCTTCAGAATAGGTGGAAAAATCTAATATCTGTTGCGGGCAGAGATCTCATAGCTCAAATATTTCTTCTCCTTCAGTTTCTGTGTATGTGTACTAGTAAGTGAGTGAGGGTGTGTGTCACCACGTAAGAATTGTTTACACCTTTCAGTAAAGGGGCACCTCTACATTAACAATATAATTGAGTAACTACAGTTCATAAAGCACCCTGAAATCAAAGACACTGTAAATTTAAAATGCTGGTATTGTATTAACATAAAGCAAAGAACAATAATCTAAAGCATCTAACAGATCCAGTGTATTGTAAAACGTATAAAAACTCACTGTGTGATCTGCCTTTTTTTTTTTTTTTAGTGATTTTCCTCTATTATGGAATTCAGATCTAAATGAACTGTTAAACACTTAGTCTAAAGGTATGCCAAACATTTCTTAAGGTCTTAACAAAGAACCAACTTTTTTTTTTTCCAGAAAACAAAATGAGGCCTAGGTTAAATATTTTATTTGGCTTCTCAAGATGGACTGAAAAGTTGGGCACCAGCTCCAGACCAATTCCTGGACGCACATCAAACACAGCCCTGTCATTTATCCAGTCAGTCAAAACAATCTTTTCCATCTAACGCTTTAATGTTTATGTCCTAAAAAGCTGCTAATTGAATCCAGCTCTTGAGATCTATTTGTTAAAATATATACCATCTAATTTGTAAATGAACAAAAAAGAAAAAAATATATGTTAACTTTCCTGGCAAAACAGAAGAAAATCCATCACATGTAACCAAAAGGGAAAGAGCAGTGTTTTTTTTAATATTTGAATATTTTTCTCTTAAAATACGACAGAGACAAATTCCCAATGGTTTTATGAAATTCAGAGTACCTTAACTGTTTTTACAATTACTAGTAAGGGGACACAGTATATTTAAAATTCCTCAGAAAAATCTAAAAATACAAAATCATTCTATAAATTTAGTCCAGTGTTCCTGTCGTCCCCTCCTCCCCCCCAAAAATAATAAGTAATCTTTTCTCCTAACTTTATGTATGAATTTTATAATATATCATATGCAGTCAAGAAACCACAGATAAACACTTTGAGATCTAATGAGTCACACACAAAAACCTCAAACTTATTTTATCTGCAGAAGATCAAAATCCCTGTTTTCTCCCTCTTTTTTTCAGCATATATATAGACTAGAAGGAAGTAAATGGCCAACAGCCTATTTCTGATGCTTTCTGCACACCTGGAATCACAGGTTCTTTTCATAATCACTGACTCAGGACTGACTCTGAGAGGAACAGCAGTAGATAAAAAAGCAACAAAGATCCCTTATAAAGGTTTCCATTGATTCATAAGAAAATAAGGAAACTGAATGGGGGAAACAGGGGAGACAGATAGGCATTCCCCCAGTCCAGGTTTTCCATTAAGAACCACTCAGTTAATGATTCTTTGCAATTTTCCCTAGGGAAAGTAAAACTGTCATGAAAGTAATATATTTTTTAAACTGCAGCCAACATAGGCTAACTTCTCAAATACCAAATTCACTGCAAGTTTGTATCTCGAAAGTTCAGCCAGTGGACTGCGATGTGACACACAAGCATACAATTACAAAAATTAGTCCATATAAATCTCAAAGTCTAGTGTAGGCAAACATAATTACAGTTTACTCTTACACACACACACACACACACACACAGACTAAGGAAAAACCATCTTTCTCACCACACATCCGAAAATCAACGTGGGGAATGTATGCACAGTGAATGGTAAATCGCGGATAACGACGCTGATTTCAGCTACACTTTTCAAACCAAGAATTAATGTTTCCTTAAAACGTGTAACACGGCTGTGTAAGCATGCCAACCATGGCATGGTGAGCAAAATGGACTTGTGATGTTAAAGATTCAATGACCCTGGACGCATGGACACTTTGCAAGGGAAGCCTTCCATCTAGCAACCCCTCCGGACATTCTTTTCCATCTAGAAGAGGGGAGGGGGGGAGGTTGAGGAGAGAAAGGAAACTTCGGTTGAAAGTTTGTATGAGCACATACTTAGACATGCACACACAAAAAAGAAAGAAAGTGTGTGTGTAAAGCCGGCCTGGAGTTCGCAGGGAGACAGTTGTGCGGCCTACAGGAGCAGCCCCGAGCACGCCGCCCTGCAATCAAACGCTCCCAAAACACAGGGTGCAGGAGCCGGAGCGGCGGGCGGCGGGCACGCCGGA